TGTCTCTCTGTCTGTTTGTGCACACACATGAACGCACCGAAAGACAACCCTGGGTGTCACCCTCAGGAGCACCTCTCCTTCCTTTGAAGCAGTCTCTTCTGGCCTGGAGCCCACTAGTTATTGTGCCCTGACTGGCTAGCGAATTCTCTGTCTCCACCATGCCCCACTGTGTGTGTGCTTTGGGGCGGGGGTGCACTGTGTGCATATGTGTGTGGAGACTTGGAGGTGACGTCAGTGACTTCCTCAGACATTTTCTACCTCAGTTATTGAGACAGGGTCTCTCTGTATCTGGAGTTTTCCCAGTTGACTAATCTGGCTAGCAAGCTTGCTTCAGACACCCAGTACCTGCTCCTGACTACTGAGATCACAGGTGGCCATGAGCCCTTCCCAGCTTTTTAAGTGAGTTCTGGAGTTCCAAACTCTGTCCTCACACTCAGCCCCAACACCAGCTTCTACGTGGATTCTGTAAACTGAAGTTCGTGTCCTTTTGGCTGCAAAACAGGCTCTACAGACTGAGCTATGTGATGTTGATTGTATGTTTTTACTTGTTCAGATACACACACACACACATACACACACACACACACACACACACAGTGTTATGTTCTGGTAAAATTTTAAGACTTAAGACACTATCAGATGCTTAATTTCCATGCATCTTACTCTGTAGTTCTGGAATAGAACATTCAGTATCTGAGAGGGTTCTGGACATTTGCTTTTTGTTTATAGATATGTCTTTTAAAAGAAGGAGAAGGAAAGAAGAAGAGGAGGAGGAAGGGGGAGGAAGAAGAGGAGAGAGGGGAAGAGGAGAAGAAAAAGAAGATGGTTGATTGATTCAGAGTCAAAGGAGTGTTGAGACAGATAGAAGCAGGTTAGTCTCAGGAAATGGGACCAAGGTCGCCATCAGTCTGCAGAGACATCCACTGAGTCCAGAGGCCAAGAGCACACCTCTGGGGGTTACAGGAATACAGGATTTAGCTGCCCGGTTCTAAAAAATTTTAGTTTTTTCTTTGTTTGTTTTGTTTTGTTTTTCAGTGCATGGGGCAGCACATGCCAGGTAGACACTTTATCACCAAGCTGTACCCTCCTTTCTTTGTTTATATGTTTGTTTGGGTGCAGGGTTTTGATAAATTGCCAGAGCTAACTTTCAACTTGGAAACCTCCTGCTTCAGCCTCCCAAGTAGCTAAATATTACAGGTCTGTGCCACCAGACCCAGTTTTTCCTGTCATTTGAATCTATACCAAAGTGGCCTGTGGCTCTTTCAAATAATCTCCCTCCTGGTCATCATCATTCAAAGTTTCCTTTCTTGCAACATCCTGGGTCCTTCAGGAGAACTTGATGGGTCGTTCGAACAAGGCTGGGATCCTGACTGACAATTCCCAGCTCCAGCTGTGTCTCCGGGTCTTTACGGAGGTGTTTGTTTGGGGTCCCTTTATGGAGGTTGGAAGGGCAAACTTCAGGTAAGAGACCTACTGTGCATCACTCAGCCTCCTCTCTCCTGCTTCCTGACTCCTGACAGCTGAATGTTTCATGATTCTGGTCTTTAGCAATTCTTGAACTATTTAAATGAGACATGAGTTTCTGTTAGCCCCTGGCTTGCCCAGGGCTGTATACAATGGGGGTTTCCACAGGGTGTGGAGACTGGATTCCCTATGCCATGTGGTACCTCTTAGCTGCTACCAAAATATTTGATCCTCTGAGCTGTGGTCAGGTGATAAGAAAAAGGAAATAGACTGGAATTTGAATTTTCTTATCAAGTCAATACAGTCTCACAGAAAAGGCAAAGATTAGTGCAGGGATCTTGGGCTTCTCTGAGATTTACTCACAAGCCACAAGGCTCCACTCCTGCCCTGCAGGGCTGATATGAATAATAAATGAAATGACGTCTGCAGAGAAACTCATGGGGTTGTTCTCCAACTTCCTGTAGCAATTACAAACATTTAGGGGAACAAATCCCCAGGATATGAAGGTTTCAGGATCTTGGTTTTACAGAGGGCTTATTCAGAGTCCCCCCTCAGAGGGTGTCGTAGAGGGTCTTTGTGTGGTAGCAGTAAGCCTGGAGGATGTGAAGTGGTCCTTTAGGTTATTTGGTTGTTTTGGGTTTTTTGAGGATGTGTTTCCACCATGTGCTCTAGGAGGCCAGAAGGATGTCATGACTCCCAGATCTCAAGTTACAGACGTTTGAGAGCTGCCATGTGGACACTGGGAATTGAACCCAGGTCCTCTGCAACAGCAGCAGTGCACTTAACCACTGAGCCATCTATCTCTAGCCCCGAGTCCTTTAGTAGTTTTATAATCTTATAGCTCTTTTGTATAACACTAAACCCTGTGTTATCAATAAGTACAAAAGATTTTATATATATGTGTGTATATATGTGTGTGTATACATACATGTGTGTATGTGTGTGTGCATGAATGATAGCTTCCAAGTTCTTCCTCATGTCAGAGGAGGGGCCCTCTCAACCTCACTGAGCTACCTAAACCTCGGCTTAGATGTGAGGCTTTATTTTCACATAAGGTGGAGAGGAACTTTATTTTTTTACCATAGAACTTGTATGCATGTACAAGAATTGGGGTTCAGATCTGCCTGGGACACACTGCTGAGGAGGGAACAGAGCTCTCTGGCCCCTGTCAGATCACACCTTCTAACCACAGCCCTCAGTCATAAGGTTTTTCGTCTTTGCTGGGAGCCTGAACAAACCCACTGTTTATACTAACAGTGAGAACAGAAGTGGCAACAGCTAACTGTATTGATTACCTGACAGAATGATGTATTTTTCTATACATAACCCTGATCACAGCGCTATTGGATAGAGATCATGGCTGTGCCCAAGAAAGCAAAGCTGATTATTTTACCCAGCATCCATCAGTGAATCCACTGAGTCTCCTCGTCCAAGCCACATGGAGGGCATCACGTGATGTTTGTGACCCTCTGCTGCTAGATTTGTATGTATCCTGTATTCCATGCTAGAAAATAAATTCCAAGTAGTCAGGAACCTTGAGGGTCTCCTTTACAGCTCTGATTGAGAGAATTAGCTCCTATCTGCTCTGGGCCAAATCGAGGGACGATGTCACCAGGAAGGCTGTCATGGGGTGACTGCTACCAACATCCTCTTCCTGGGAGCATTGATTGTTCATTTTCTCCGTCTACTTGAGGTTTTATGCCGCAAGTGAATGAAACCTCAAGTTGACCATGGACTTAGACATTCTGCAAAGCATGGAGGAAGGCAAGGAGAGGTCTATCATTCCTGCTTCTGTGGGTCACAGTGTTTCACTGTATGGCTGTGTGTGTCTGTGTGTGTGTGTGTTGTGTGTGTGTGTGTGTGTGTGTGTGTGTGTGTGTGTTTTGTTTATGCATATGAAACATACTTGTATACATGTACCCACACACTGTGAAGAAATGATCTACTAGTCACGATTTAGACACTATTAATACTAACTTTGAACAGCCATGTCAAATAGCTGCCATCATTTTTATTTTATCAGTGAGAAAACTGAGACTTAAAAGAGGTAACTTTAACAAGGTACCAAGAATCAGCAAGAAACACAGCCAGGATTAGCAGCCAGACATGAGACTGAAAATTCGTTATAGTGACACTTAGCATTACGGAAGTGTGAAATACTCCCAATGTGCAGATATATAACAAACATTTAAACATGTTATATATTTGAGGAATAATTACATTCTAAAAGATTAAGTATTTGTGTATTTAAGAATGGATTCCAATTGTTTAGAAAATTCTGTGTTTGTTTGAAAAAAATTTTTTATTAGATATGCTGGAAGGAACCATGGGCTGAGGGGTTAGAAAAATACCTCTAGGAACCAAAATGTGTAGGGTTTTTTTTTTACTGTAATAAAATGTGATTTATAATATTACAAATTCAGCCTGAAATCAAAGGTAATACACGGTAAACAAAGAGGTGTTTGCTTCATGCACATCAACTACAGAAGTGAAATAGAATAAAGAAAACTAACATATAGTGCCATCTACAATTTTCAGTTATATTGTGTGAGGTTCTTATTTTTATATGTTACTGAGCCAAAAGATCTGTTTTTAAAGGAGAATTTGTCCCCAAATCTAGAGCATCTAGCTTGTACTTGAAGAGAAAAATCCGTGATGAGTACAAACCAAATAATCCAACTTGAACTTTCATAAAAGCTGCTTCTGTGACACTGTGCTGACACAGAAATACAGTTTTGTCTTGTTCTGTCTGAGGAGACTTACCCTGAGGAACTTACATACTTTGATCAGGACAGCCCAGCCGGGTCAGATATGTAACCTCACTCTTGGTCCCAGCTGTATCTTCACAGTGGAGAGGGGATAGGAGATGCTCCAAAGCAGCGGTTCCCCCCTGTCCTTAGCCTGCCAAGAACCTGCTTGCTGGCAGGCTCATCAAAGGTCCCGTCCTTGTAGTCATTCATGATACCAGGCACAGCCCCAGATCTGTCACGCGTGTTCATAAAATCCTTATTTGCTGTTCATCTAAACCATTTTAGAGTGAATTAAACACTCGGGCACCCCTGGATTACACACCCTCCTCCTGTGACATTTTAAAATCCAAGCGTGGGGAGGGAGCTGCAAAATGTGAAGGGAGGCTTCCGGCTGAGAGAGAAAACTCCTGGCTGCATCAACACTTTGACTTTCTTGGTGTAAGCTGTATCTCATACATTCCTGTAATATAAGTTGAGATAAATTGTTACCGGCATTTTTAAAAAGCTTATTATGGGCTTGATCTCTCATGCCTTGAAGTAAATAGAGCTTAAAAAAAAAAATCAGCCAGTGTCTGCGCATGCGCCATGAGTGCGTGCATCCTGCGTGCGTGCTCCATGCGTGCATTCCTGAGCGTGCTGCATCGGTCTGTACCCAATGGTCATTGATGAATACTTGATTCTATTACAAAGCAGACTTAAGTCGGAAGGAAGTGGATCAGCCATAACTGTTCCAGACCCTGGTTTAACTTGTTTATTCACGTGACCTTTGCTTTTTTTTCTTCCCAGGGTCGGGATTACTGTTCTGAAGAAGAGGATATCACATAGCATCGATTCTCCCAGTCAGACCAGGAGCTACTACTGTGTAAATAGGTTACACCCCAGTTGAAACCTTTGCAAAGGTCGGTTCTCTTCACTGAAACAGCACTATAGCAAATGAAGACCGTTCCATATCCTATGCCCCATTAAATTACAGTTTTTCTTAATGAACCTGCAAAGGAATATTGCTAAACACAAACACACACACACAAAAACTGTTCTGGAACTTTCTTTGTTGCTGCTAGTTAAAACTTGTTGCAACTTTTCACTCCTCTCGTGTCCAAGTACGCAGCAGAATTCTGCAGTTCACCTTAAAGATACTATTGGTTTCACGACGCTCTCTAGCCTGTTGTCCCTACGATGGGGTACAGGTGAACTCTGATACAGACGTCAGTTCTAGCCTGGTTCTGCTTTGATGTCAAGCATCCCCTCCCCTCCTTTCTCTTTATCCATCTCTCTTGAGTGGTCCAGAGATGGCCTGAGCCTTGCTTCTCACTGATAACGTGGGCCTTTGGACATGGGATGGTGGCCATGGGTGAGCCTAGTTTCTCTGCTCAAAAGTAGAAGAGCCACAATTGATTGAAAGCATGTTGTGACCTGACTCCCGGAAGTGACAAAGGAGCGAGCAATCGAGCTATAGGTTGTTCCACTTACTAGGACTCTTAGTGCAGGATTAAGCTTGTAGCATTGGCTTTTGCTCAGATGCAAATGGAAGTGTGACCACGTGACCACAATCATTTTCAACCCCTCCCTCCTCACTTTTTTTTTTCTAAGAAATAAACATTTTGCTGTTTTTATGTATCCTTGTCTTCTCCCATTCATCCAGTTCAGCATTTTAAGATGACCCTAGGTGTGGAAGCTAAGTCCTCTTTCACAGTGACACTGGTGATTGCCCTCAATGGCCCCCCACCCTACTGGTGACATCTACCATGGTTTGGAAGGGCTGTGAGTGGTGAGAGGAGATAAGGGGACAACCCTGTGACTTCTTAGGAGGGCTGGAAACCACCGTTAACCTTTCATTCTGTGCTATTAAAACACACTGTTTTCTGATTTCCCCCCTCAATATGTTACGTGAGCCTTGCTCCTTCATTTGTTTCTGTTTCCAGCTCTGGTAGTGAGGGTAAAACATGTCTGCCTACTAGAAAACATAGGACATTCACACTGGTGATCTTAACTTGGAGATGTGAAAGCCAAAAGCCCCTGGTGGTGGGGAGTGCTGACTGTGTGGTCAGTAGAGTTTATTTTTCCATACTATATGAAGAGGACAATCTCTTCTCAAAGACAGAAGTAATATTTTTAACAAATATTGTCACAAGTAAATAGCAATCAAAAGGAGAAAAATAACTTTTGTATTTTTTTAATCATGTTTGATAGCTTTGATGAGGGTTCTCTTTGTTACTTTCAGGGGAGGGTACTCTATTAAATGCCACGCCAGGGCATTTAATTTAATGCACGCCAGTCCAGGGTTGAGCTTGTCCTACACACACACACACACACACACACACACACATACACACACACATACACACACACACAAACACAGAGAGAGAGAGGTGGGGGGAAGAGGAGAAAGAGAGAGAGAGGAATGCTGTGTTTTTCTCTCTGAGGGTTGTGAATTTCAAGGGTCTCACTATCAGCTGCCTGCCACCTTGGAAGGTGAAATAGTTACAAGCGAGACAGTTAAGATGTTTCCAATTGTCTGCCACAGACTAGGACAGGAAGCTAAATTCGTTCTTACCAAAATGAGCCTTGACTTTCAAAGCTGTCCACAAAATGGCAAGATTCTTCATCTCCTGTCAGACCCAAGGCAGCAAAAGCGAGGGGGGGGGATGCAGCCGAGTGCTATAGAAAATGGACTCGGGTGTTAGCAACAAAATCCTATAATTCATGCACCCGGCAGCAGCTATTTTGGGGATCAGCTGTGGCTGTTACATAAATAGAGTTTCAGCCAAAAGCTAAGGCTTTTTATCCAGCCTCAAGCAGAAAAATGCAGGGAGAGTCTAGCAGTCTAGGGTTTTAAGTTCCCTCCCCCTTGTATGTTTTTTTGGCCAAAGGACGAAAATAGTTTTCCTCAACTGTAAATGAACTGCTAAACCCCACCTCAACTCTGTTCACTGGAGACTTTGTTCACTGTTCTCTGGATGGCCTTTTCCGGGATCTCATGTTCTTATCAAGCAAGAATGAAGTGAATGTTAACGTCTTCCATTCGACTCCTCTACATGGTGTCTAAAACAGTGTCTTCCCAGAAGACCAACTCCCAGTACCTGAAGATGAGACACCCATGTCCCTTTCCTCAGCCACGGTTAGCATTTGGATGTTACTCATGTCTCTTGGGAACCTCATTTTTGAGTGTTAATGAACCCCTAAGTGCTGTTAAGGAAACAGCGGTTTTCCACGGTTCTCTCTCCCGTGTTTTTTCACGAGGATACCTTGCTGTACAAAAGCGATTCTATCTTCAGACGCGTGTTTGGTTACCTCCAGGAATAGGTCCAAGAATTGGGATGGTTGACTGGGTTGGCATGAAATGCTTGACTGTGCTAGCAACACTCAAAACTGTCTGTTTTTCATTTGTTGGTTTGAATCATAAAATTGTCAAGTGATTTGTGTTTGTACTTTATTTTTCTAGATCTTCTGGAAGGATCTAAATTAAAAATATGTGCCCCTCCCCCATACCAGAACATTAAGCAGATTGTCTCAGGTATAATGAAAAGAATTACCCAGTAGAGACGGTGGAACATCTTGCTAGTTGTCCTGTCTGTAGGACTTGGGAATTGGGAGGAGGGAGGAAGGGAGGAAAATGGCCTAGAGAAACCAGGAAATAAATGTTGAAAAATGGACAGAAGTTATCCATAGAGCTTTTAGTGGCTATGAGCTACGGCAGTTGATCTAGTGGCCAGTGGGTGGAGTGGGCCTGCTCGTGAGATGTGTAGCTGGATTACGTACGGCTCATGTCCTCCACGTTGTAGAGTTGTAAAGGTTCAGCAGTGTGTGTGCAGCTTTCTTTTGCTTGGCAGAGATTCAGGACCATGGAGTACTGCTCTCATAATTGAATACGTGTTTCTCACTGGCAGACAAACTCAAAAGAGGCTTTTTTACCTCTATGAGGCCTCCTAGCCTGAGGCTTAAGCAGGAGCATAGAGTGACATTATGGTCTGTTTAGGAACAAAGAAGCTACAAAGTCCAGTGATGAGAAAACTAGGTCAGCCCCCAGAAACAGCCACACAGTGGCAGGTTTCTCTCTGTCTGCTGTGCCTAGCGTCTGAAGCTGGCCTTTGATGACTCAAGTAAGAAATACATGCCCCAGGAATAGCCTTGATTCTCAGCTCCCAGGCGCCTGCCTGTTCTTCCACTCTAGAGTTGCTCTGTGTCTTGGGTGTACCCAGGCATGAAAGTGGCCATGCCCGAGAAATGACAGCCCAGCTTCACACTTGACCCAGTTGATGGCCTCCAACCTCAAGTTATAACTTCATCCTCCATCCAACCTCATCACCTCATGTTTTTTCTCTCCGAGCAGAAGTCCTATAACCCTGTTGAAACAGATTACACCTCCCCCGAGTTTCACCTCAGTCACCTACAGGGCACTTTGGTTAATGATAAGTCCTGTTTAGATTCTGGGTGAGATTCTGGGTGACGTGGTGCCCATCTCTACTGGTCCTAAGAAAAGAAACTTCATTAAACATGTTTGTAGTAAGAGAAAACAGCACCTCCTTAATACAGGAAAATATGAAGAATACAGACTGTCTTCATTATAAAAGACAAAACAATTGGTATTGAGGTTCTCTCCCCTAAGCTTCTCACAAAAACAGGGGATGAGGGCAGCATCACACTGGACTCTAGTTTTACATAAACTCTGCCTTCCTGGCTTTTTCCACCAGAAAGCTATCTCTGAGCTACATTTCTTTTTACTGTTTTAGAAATTAATCTTTTTGTTAAGTTGCTTATAACTCCAGTAGAAAAATAAGGCATGGTTGGTGGGTAGGGACTATGTATTTTAAAAGACATAATGAAATGATAGCCAGAAGCAGGGACTTGACGCATGGTTGGATTGGCAGACCCCAGTGTACCCCTGCACAGCTCTGTGGGCCCTCTACAGATGCTCTTGGATAAACTGTTGGAATTCCTTGAATGAGGTCTGTGGATCTCCTTCTCAGACAAATGGATGATTCTTCTATCCATGGGGAAGGCGCCTTGATTTCCACAGTCATCTCTTCTGTTATTATATCTCCAGGGAAAAATAATAATAATAAAGCCTCACATGTCTGTGGGAGAATCTATGCCCTTCTGACAAAGCCTGGGAGCCGTTAGTGATGCTGAGGTGTTGAGGTTTGTCGCATCTGAGATCTGATTTCATCTTAAGTGGGAAGAGGAAAAGGAGCCCTATTAGTTATTATTTATGTCCAGGCTGTGCCAGATGTTGCCGACAACATTCCATCCTTATCTCTTGCGTTCCTCGAAACGGTCCCTTCGCCCCCACATTCTAAGCAGTGTGTCTTACAGTTGAATCCATCTGTCCGATGAAAGCTCATGTGTTGATTAGAGTATATTACTATTTGGATTATTATTACTACACTGTGAAAAAAACGCCTTTAGGGCCCGTCTACCTTCTACAGTCTCTCTTTGGCTCAGTTGCCGGCTTACTCTCCTCATGTGGTGTCTTAGCTAGCCCTCTCTGATTCTGTACACTGCATGGGAACCTGAAGAAGCCTCTGGTGAGAGAGAACTTTGGGCCTCAGAGGGATAAGGCTTCGGGTGGGGAGAGAGAGTCAGCATTGGTCACATCCTCTCAGCTTCTGAGGAAAGAAGTAACCTATCTCACCTTTTTTTAAATCATGCTTGGTCCCCTAATCTTGTTTCTTCAGAGACTTGTCTTTGTTAGGTTAAGAGCCTCCTCACCTTTGCAGAGAGATCTCAAAGACTGAGGAGATAATGCCTGGACCACTGACTTGGATGGAGGTCCTTTCTGGTGGTCTGCAGTTGAGTGTTTCTTTTTGACTGCTGGATTGGGAGTCTGTATTTTCCAGGCCAGTTTAAGTACCAGACCTAGATGTGATTCTCAAGGTCTTAAACGTTTTTCAGATAGTCATGTAATGACCTGGAGAGAGTCACTCTAGTCCAAGGTTAGGCCAGCAGTTCAGGAACACCAGAGTTCATCTCCTTGCTTCATAAAATGCATGGGGCAAAAGATGATTCATCTCCACAGCAGCTGGTAAAGGTGCTACCTGGAGGGACCCACGGTCACCCTCATTTACTCACCTTGGAAGATTCAAAAGATTGTCCTTGCCCGAGTTCCTTGTGACAAAGACCTCGAAATCCTGATTGCTTCTAACCTAGCAACTTGCACCTTCCCTCAGGACCATATGGGACTGGCTCTTATCTCTTGGAAGCCAGAGGAATTTCTTAAAGTCTGGACGGTCCCACCACACCCAAGTCTTCTGTATAACATTGTCTCTTTTGCCTTGGTCCATTCTTCTTCCCTTCCCAAGAATTATTTTTAGACCAAGTCTTTGAGTTTGACTGAATAAGACCTAAAGTAATAATAATAATAATAATAATAATAATAATAATAAAAAAGAACAGCATAAACTTAGCCAGAACTGCCTTTCAGTTCTACAGGGTTGAAAGTTAGACCTCAGGGGCCTACTGCTCAGACCCGGGAGTCAAAAAATAAAATCAAAGCTTAGCGCTTCAGTCCAGACCTTCAGGGTCTCTTCTCCTTTGACCACTGAGCAAGGGAAGCTTTACAGGAGATTCCAAGCCAGATTTTTTTCCATCCAGAGAAAGATGTAAATTCATAAAAATGACTGTTTTCCTGGATCAGACCCAGGCAGTTGCCGTATTAGGACTTTAAATTTGGATCTATTCTTTGAACACATACACAAAGATAGATGGATAAAGAAAACATAAATACTTAATCATAGACAGGCTGAGGGTAGGGAGACGCTGGCTTTTACCATTCTGTAATCACTGCAATAATGTCTGGGGGATATCCACATAACTGTAAGGAAGCCTACACAGCAAAACCCCGTGGCTGTTTTTGCATGCATCCAGTGGGAGCACCGAGGTCTGTGAGTGGGCTCTCACATTGTGGCCTTCTGTGCCTGTGCCTGCTTGTGTTTGGTTCCTCTGGGCCTCTGGGTAGGCGTCTTGGCTCATGCTCTTTCCCAGCTCACAGTGGGAGCAAAGACGCATGCCAGGTCCCGCCACCGCATTGCTGATCATCCCCACTCATCGTGTGGCCTTGACTGTGACATTGAAGCCGCTCCCACCAGGACGCTCTGTTACCAATCTGGGGACTTAAGAGTGCCTTTATTCAGGTTGTCCTAGGTGTAGCTACTCTTGGTAGACTCCAGGCCCTGAGCCAATGGGCAAGCAATATAAAGGTGAACCACAGTCTCTCCCCTCCAGGAGCCCATCACGAGGGGGAAACAATCCAGAAGAGCCACCTTCGAGAAATCACAGGATCCTACGGGATCAGATTGCAATGGTAGCCAGCCAGCTTCAGGCATAGAAGCTTCCAAAAAACAATGAGAACAAAATCCATCCTTGTCTGGGCACAGAGGGAAAGCTATCAGAGGGGTGAGTCGTCCATGCTGAGAGGAAAGCGTGAGACTTAGCATAGGTGGAGAGGGCCATGGGGCCTTCACACCATTGGACCTTCACAGGAAAAGGGGTGGAGCTTAGAGTAGCAGAGAGAAGCATAAAGGATGAGAACAGGCTGGTGAACCAGGCTCTGGAGCTTCGCCGTGGAGTGGAGTATGGAGGAGAGTTTCTGATACGCCCCTGCACACTCCATTCTGCGTTGTCCGAGAGCTAGATGTGACCGTTCTCAGGATAGGAATTGCCTTCCTCTGGAAATTCACAGCTGCTGACTGAAAAGATTTATGCCCACCTATCTTTTCTCCCGATTCCAACTTCTTCTGGCCTCTAAAACCTGTTCGAGTTCAAGGGCTTTACCCTGGACTGGATCTCGTTTGGAGATTCGTGGGAGAGAGGGCTGGGTCATCCTGACCCGTCTTTAGAGAGATGATGGCTAAAAATACCTCTTGAGACCAGGTTGGCCCAGACCCAGAGATGAGAGTGTACCCTAAAATAAATATTCATGAAGCTGTGAGGGGCTTCCTTAGTTAGAGTGTGGTTTTAACCAAACTCTTAACCTTTGCTTTTAACCTGGGTTAGATCACGAGCACTGACCAAGAGAAGGCAGCCAGGTCTCTGCTAGGTCCCAAGTGTATACCTGAGTCTTGCCAAGGAAAGAGGAGCTGGGGAGCTTGGGGGCCCGGGCTTTGTTTTGTTTTGTTTTGTTTTGTTTTGTTTTTTGTTTTGTTTTCTAATCATAAAGTACAAATAAGTTGTGTGCAGATGCAGACTTTGCACAGTGGCTGAGGACCTTGTGGGACTGTCCATGCGGGAGTGATGCAGGGAACACTGCTACAGCAGAATCTGGCAAGAAACCACTTCTCAGTGCCTTTTGAGTTTTTCAAAGAACTTATTCAGTTCACAGCACTGGGGCATGCTCCCTTTCTCTCTCTCTCTCTCTCTCTCTCTCTCTCTCTCTCTCTCTCTCTCTCTCAAAAGAAGAAAAGTTCTAGGTAGAAGAAGAGCAGAATTGGATCCATCAGAATTACTAGCAATAAGTCAGCTTGACCAGAGACTCTTCACATGGGGTGAGGCTCCCCTGAGGGAC